ACAATCTAGGGAGCTGGTCCCAAACACGAGGCAACCTGATGGCTACCGAGTTGAAAAATGCTTGGTGACGGAAACACAAGCGATCATTATGTCTGGTATTGATTTTGATACCATCATAAACCGTGATGCAGCTTAGAAGGCCCATCAGAACTTTAAAGCAAAAAATAATAAGCAATTTGTCCCTTCTGACAGACAAAGAAGAAAAAGAAAGCAAATGTAACCTCTCCTCAAAGCTCATCTGTCCTCGATGTTGTTTAAGGGACAGAACATAAGGTGGACAGAACTTTATGCTAATAATATATGCTGTATTTTACAAACTGTTAGGTACACCCACAGAGAGCAATATTTAGTTATAACTAATGTAATTCCTCAGCTAAATCAGAGAATTCCCTGTGGATTGGTGTTCAAACCTACCAGGTACACCACTTATACTTGTGGGTGGATAGGTAAAATTCCTTGCACAGAGTGGTTTGAAGGTTAAGTGACTGTGCCTGAATCATAACCACTGCACAAGTTATATTTAAACTCAGTAAGTAATCAATTATTATCCTTCTTTTCAGATAACAGAGCAAGCAAAGTTCCTAACCAAAAACAAAGTACATTTTGCTGTAGGAACACCGAACAGGGTCTCATCCCTGATTGACCAAGATGCACTGGATCTTACTCGCGTCAAATACATAATTCTGGACTGGAATTTCCGCGACCTCAAGAAACGTAGAATGGTGGACATACCCGAAATAAAGAAGGATTTGTTAATTTTTTTAAAAGACAAGGTTATACCAACTATTTTGAAAGGAACTAGGTTGAAAATAGGAATTTTTTGAATGCATTGAACCTTTACTTCTTTCATGACCTTTACCAGCCTTGCCTTGTTTACACAGCAGAAGAACATCGCGTTTATCAATTGATATAGGTGTTAAGTGGGCGTGGAGTTAGTAACTCCGCATAAGGGATCAGTAACCACGATGATCTACGAAGTGGTAACATACATCATCGGCGTGATCTTTGTGCAAATTAGCTGTTGTTGACCTGGAAGTGCTGTTCATAAACAGCGTGAATACCAATATTAATATTTGAAAAATTATGTTTTAATCAATTACATACATTTTTAAACTTTTTTGACAAAAGATTTCATGAATGCATGCATTTTTTTCAGGTCAGTTTTAATCACATGACTTCCTTCACATACAACCGATAATGTTTTTATCGTGTAGAGGCACGACTGGAGATCATTGGTGTTACCTACCTGATAGCAAACAGCCGTGTAAACAAGGCTAGAATTATATTTGATTGAACTGAATGCATTGGAACAATTTCAAACTCTTGCACTGTAGACCTGGCTCAGGTGCATGGCTCGCCATTCTGAATATTACTGATATAGAATAAAAGTGGATCTTAGTAATGAATTCATAATACTGTTTGCAATCACACACATCACACGAAGGCCTTCTAATGAGAAAGGATTTATTTTCAAATAATATTTGATCAAAGGCAAAATGGTTGCTTATTTAAACATACCGTACATTCTCGCGACGAGGTTTAAAATAGCAAATTAAAAAACAGAGTGTCGTCTTATATGCACGAATTACAAATTTTTGATTTATTAAATCATGTTCGTCTTAAGCGCCTAAATGGTATTATTTTGAAAGATTAGCCTTGCATTTGGCTCCTTTTTTAGCCAGCCAGATGCAGCATCAAGACCATAAAAAGCAGGAAAAAAGTAGGAAGTCCAACGATGAAACAGGGAGTCGTCTTGTATATTAGATACAGAACTTGTATTTCAATATAAAAAGCATTTAACTTCTCAAACATGTAAAATAATAAAATCCATACATTGTGGTTGTATTTTATTAAAATTATGTACTAACAATTATAGGCAGTTAATGTTGATTTTAATTGAATTCATTCAATTTTCATTTCGTATATCACTGACCTACTACAGTACACCACCAGCTGGTATTGAAAAACAACCCTATTTATATGACTTCACATTATTTTTCTTTTACAAAGACCTCTTGCCAACATTGACATGTGATAAGCACTTGTGGAGGAAATGTTATCGATCCTGACTTAACACAAATGGTCATCAATTCATCTTGATCTGAATACACCTTCTACCAACACTTCTTCTACACCACCTGCACTGGTAGATGGACACGCTACCTGTTGGGGGAAGGGGTTCCTTGCAGACATAACATACCTGGTTCTTCCACTGTGGTAGATGCACCTTGCAGTAGTAGGCTAAATGATTGTCAGGGGGGGAAAAATCTAGGTTAATGAACTGAGAGCTTCTAAATGGATTTAAAATTAACAATTCATTAAAGATTGGTTTGGTTACAGTACATGATTACCATTAATGTTAGGGGAAAGTAAAGGAATATGATAACCCTGGTTATAAGGCACGGTACTGAGGAAGGAGATCCAATACTTGTGAAACCCCATGGCTATAAATCCCTTTAAAAAAACTGTTTCTTGATTGGATTTAATGATCAATATCAATACTAGACATGTTGCAATTGTATGGGGATTTTCAAGTGATACTGTACCTTCATTCTGCTTATGTTGATAAAGCTTTGGAACTTCATTAGAGCACAGAACACAGCAATCCCTATTGGGTCTATCCACCACCGCACTGCTGATACCACC